CGGGAAGCCCTGTTTTCCACACCCTATGGTCGTATGTACGAGGATTTTACGCCAGGTGGATTATATAGGGTAGGAATAATAACTTAAGGGCAGAACCTGCCACAGATATCGTAGATTCAGGCTTCTATGTACAAGCAGTATAACCCTACTATTAGTTATTTGAAATACTAATACCAGAGTGAAGTAAATTTGCCCTCAGCGACAGCATAACACAAAGACCATGGGGAGACTACGATGGTCTGATGTGGACGAAGTATATTTTCTCTCATGCGTTGGTGCCTGCGAAATTGCTGGCTAATTAGTTGCTGGGTTTTTTTGGAAGAGCCTTTTTTTTTGGGTTTATGAATTCTCAATACTATATGTTCGACCAAGGTCCAACAAGCAATTAAATTCTAGTTGACAGATTCCACTGTAGGAATGAGGGTTCTCCCCAGAGTTGGAATTGCTTGTCACTCTTACGTTTAGCAAGAGGGTTCGTACAAACCCTTTCCCCACCCCACCTCCCTAACACTAGACTGCCTCAAAGCCGACCAGGTCCTCTACCATTCCTTGGATTATATTATTTGAATTACATCTGCGGGCCAATAATCCTCCTGAACATAACACTTGTGAGAATTCGGAAATGAAAGGATCTAGCGGAATCTTTTGCCGGCAGGGGTCGGCTACCGGGGAGTGGTCAATTTAGCATGCAGTAGGAAAATCTGTAGCCAGAGTACAAAGCGATTCCAAGAGGCGTATATGCAACCGAACCGCTCGTAGAGAGAGAAATGACAGAATATCATTTGTCTCTTTAAATGCCTTCGCCAGTGTGCGTGGCCTTCAAGTTCGAGACTTTTACAGCCTTGGTGGGACATATTGGTGCCACCTGGACTATTCCAAGGATCCATACACTTTCGTTCAATCGAGGTCTAGGCGCCAGCGCATTTAATGATCCTTCATGATGTGGGACACGGGTAGCCGATAGACTTTTTAGAATACCGTGTTCATCGATTAAGTTTACACCAACCGTATGATTAGGGCCTCTCCTCTATAGTTTTGATCGCGTTACTCTCATTCGCTGCGTCATCATCTTATTGATCCATACTTCCGAAGGCATGGACAAAGTGGCCTGATGTGATGCGAGGGGCGTGATAGAGCGTTGCAAGGGTCATTAAGCTCTCCTAGAGTTCAAATACAAAGTTTCAAACCTCCCACAGCTACGTAATTGACATATTCTTCCAACTATATCATAGATCAAGCTTCTTCCACCGATCCACACCAGGCACCAGAGTACATTCCACTAGTCCAACACTCCTTCCACGAACGATCTAATTAGGGAAGTGAAGTACTGGCAAGCCAAAAATAATGGCGGTCAAACAAGGAAATTTGATTTCTCTTTTTATTTTACTGACATTGAGCTTACCTTGGACTACCACAGCAGCCGAATGCACCCAGAGTGATATTTCCCATCTCTCGGTGTCGGGTTGTACTTGTCCATCATCTTTTCATGCCTGCTCAAACACCTGCCCCCTTGGCAATGGATGTGGGCAAAACTCAAACCTAGTCGATAAGTGTGATGTAGGCTGTACAGATGACAATAAGGGCTGTGAGACCTGCAATTTATACTTTGGTGGCCTGTGTCGGTGCTTACGGGACGGTGACTGCTTTCACGATTCGTCTACTGGCTCTTGGACGCTGCTTCATTCCAAAACATTAATTACCACCCCACATCTTCTGCCAGGGATCTTGGACCTAGGCCCAGACAATAATGGCTGGAGACTAGGACAAATCACGCTATCGACGGGGCAATTTTCCAGCTGGGACGATGGAACTCTAGCGATGAACTCAGTCACCTCAAGGACGGAAGAGCAGATTCACATCCATGTGTGCGATAGGCCGACAAGCGTCCTGCGAAAATATCTTGAACAGAAAAATGCAGTACACTATAGCAGTCTTACGCCGATGGATTTCGACCAGCTTGGTTTCCAAAAGGACAGCGTACATTGCCAGGCAGCGAAGACAAAGGACTTTGACATGGCAAAACTTGTATCGGACTATTTGAACACCTTGGGCGCAGGTTGTGCTAAATACCATACAGGAGCTGGACTTATCACGGATAAATATGGTAATACATGGGGGTGCGTCACCACACAAGGATCCGCAGAATTTCTTTTTTGTATGAATTAGTACTTCGAAGTGCCGACAGGCGAAAGGTTATCATGTGTTATCAGCTTTCATGTAATAGGGCTTTCTACTCTAAAAGTGCTTTCATAAAGTGTGTGCTGTGAGATAAGTTATACCACCACAACTGGGCGCTGTGTATACCATACGCATTCAAGAACATTGGGAATATTATCGCAGTGCCCATAACCTGTTCTCGCCTTGCATATCTGCACGGCTTCCTCCAGATAATCCATTCCAAGCCTCCATTGATTCGGAAAGACGATCATCTCGTTCATTGGAAGATGACGTAGGGTTTACCAGCTCACTATCCACCGATGCATCATGAGTAGCAACCACAGATGTAGCATTATAAAAGCAGAAATCAAAACGTGAGCTTTCATGCAATGAGTCTGGATGTGAATAGCAAGGATCTGGTGCAACGAAAGCGGCTCAAAATAAAGCTACCACCAGCCTGTCTAGGTTATATCTCTACGAAAGTAGAGAAGCGTCTTCAAAAATCTGAACCTCGCCTGATACACCTGTTATTATCTCCACCTTAGCCTCGAAAAGCGCCAGAGTTCTCTTCAGTTCCTGGATTGTTGTGTCTCTAAATCGGGGAACATATAGGCCCCGTGTAGACTGTTGTTAGAACGGAAGTCCGGAGAAAGAAATATTATTATGGAGAAAGGATCCCATATGCGTGGTTCGATGAATGCGACCGTGGGATGCCCGAGCCTCGTGACATAATTAAGCATCGTCCAGCTGCTTCGCTCTGTATTGTTGCTGGAGCAGTTTATCCGCCAGCTCAGGATAAAATCGTCTCCCGATTTCGGGATAGCTTATAATGGTATTTATTAGGAAGACATTACCAGCTATCTCTTGGGATAAATTAATAAAAAAGATCTCTATATTAGACTTAATATTATTCTGATGTAAGCTTATAATATAAGATAATAGTTCCAATACTATATTCTCGATAATTATATCAAGACCAATTACCCAGAAGAATATAAAGCTCAGTTATATATCAGGTGAAGTATCTCCTTTCCTATAATACTACTCTCATTTTAAATTAACTTAATAAGCAATAGCTATATAAATATCATATATAAAAAACCTCCAGTAAACAACCAATATTTATTATAAATATATTTAGGATAGGGCCCCCGCAGTATATAGCATAGCTATATCCCCTCATTTCTGATAGTCCTTTTAACTAGTGCTGGAATTATATCCAGCACCAATTCACACACGAAGAAGAAAAGTGTCAAACCTCCTCGAGGTATTTCCCAACCTTCACAATATTCGGCATGAAGCCTACTGAAGCTACGCCGGGTAGCCGGGTTATTAAGGTTAGTATCATAGGGTCGGTTAGAATTATTCACACCTTCACCCACGCAACGCACGCTAATTGATGGTAGGTGTAACATGGTCACGCAAGTCATCCATGTGCCCTGTCTGAACTCCTTATCCAATATTTTTCAAGTCACATATCTATACGATGTCTCTGAGGAAGCTATAAAATATAGCTAGCTCAAGGTCGCAGGTAGCTCGAAGCCCAAGACAACACGAAGCATCGAGGAGCTCTGCAACGCGCCGGAAGTGGAACTAGTACTGATCGTAAATAATCATGCTTTACACGCCTTCGCCGCAGTACTCGCGCTACAGGCAAATAAGTACGTCTTTATCGAGAAGCCGATTGCTTTGACATGGCAAGATACAGACCGTATCATAGCAGCGGACAAGGCTACAGGTGGCGCGAAAGTATTTATCGGTTGCATGAGGAGATATGCTGCGGCTTTAATCGACGCAGTCAACGAGGTGGCAAGTATTGGACAAATCCGTTATGCCCGCGTCCGAGATATCATTGGACCTAACTCGGTCTTCGTGGGTCAATTCGGAACGTATCCAAGGACCTTCAACGATTATCCCGAGGCGGACTCAGAAGCGTTACATACGAAAACCCATAATGACATGGAGCAAGCCCTCCATACCGAACTTGGAATCACCGTCACGAAGGAGACGGCTATGATGTAGGAGATGCTCTCTATCCTCGGCTCGCACGATCTGAGTGCCATGCGGGAGATCATAGGTATGCCCAAAGATGACGTAGGATTCTCCCCTTGTGCCACTGTCGGGTCCCCTTTTTGGAGGTAAACCTTTCACTTCCCTGACGAATCACTGTCTTAGCTAAACTAACGATGATAGTGCAATTTCTAATACCCTAACTTCGCGGTCGCATACGAGTCCGGTGTCGATCAGGTCGTAAGATTTGACGCCTCAATAGAGATTTTTGGTGACACCAAGACCGTCACGGTGTGCATCGATTCCCCGATCACCAAAGGCTTGCCAACAACAATGGTACTTAAGGAGGTTTCACTGGACGGGTCATATAGAGAGTCCATTATTCGGCAAGGATCCTTTCATGCTTAAGAGGTGTACCAATGGGTCGTGGAGGGGAAGGTCGCAAAGACCACTCCGTCTGATGCTAGACAAGACCTTGAGATCTTGGGCATGCTTATGACAGCTACAATGGCATGAAATACCTAACAGCTTCCAAGGCAAAGTAGACAAAGTAAATCACAAGTAAAGGAAGGTCAAGGAAAGGTTAATAACTCTAGGGTTGCAAAAGGGTAAGTTGGCTGCTCTCAACAAAAGGCAAAAAAAGAAAAAGAAAGTAGCATTATTCGACACTCTGTCGGAAAGGGAAGCCTTTGTGCCCGACCTTCTGCCACAGATGCAGAAAGACCAGGAGCAATCAAGGAACGGTGTGGATCTCACAATGGAGGCGAGTGTAACGAGAATATGACGCAGAAGGCAAACGCCGAGGCTTGCAATATGGCTCTTCCCTCTTGCTCTCAAAGAAGGATTAGGTATTGATTTACTCGGTATAACACAACCATCGACCAACCCAACTGAAGTCTATTGGCACACTTTAGATTACCTGATTGGCCTTGGTGGATAACTTGGTATGGGATATTAAAATTGGTTCTTATGATTAAGGTTCTGTAAATTGGATTATCTATTTACATTTAAGGGTCACATTGAAACGAATAGTTTGCCATAAACGTACGTACTCCCCCATTCCTTGACCTTCGAAACATCCCTACCCTTTCCAGGTGTTACTTGATAGACGCGATCGCCTAGAACATTCCCACAAATGTGTGGTAATACCTTAGCAATAGCTATTGAAACGGGTATTTGGTTCGAAACAGTTTCCCCTTGCTACATCATATCAAACAAGCGCAGTATCTGACGGGGAGCATATCAATAATCACTCTAACTGTAACGATAGTATGGTATTCCTATCAGCTAAATAAAACAGTACCCGGGCTGCAAAGACTGGTATATTATTTCTTCACTATTAGGATTGTCCGCTGGCTGAACAAGTACACCAGATACCTTGTTCGAATACCTGGTTCAATGCCCGTGCAGCCACCAGACAGTAAAGTCGATTCTGTAACAAGTATCCTTGCACACTGGTCAACTCAAGAGGGTGGCTTAAAGTTTCTTTGCCTCAAAGTAGAATGGCATTCCTACTCCGAGTTGAAACGGCGTGCTCCGCAGCTGCTCACTCACTGTGTCCATTATGCCAGCTTCCAAAATAGTCCCAGAATACGTAAACGACGGGCCGTTTTGGAAGTACCCTTAATATCAATGACGGTGACATTAGATTGACAAATACAAAAGCATTAGTTAGCAGCTCCAGCCAGAGAGCGCCGAGATATTGAAGTAAACTCAAGTAACAGAAGGGTAAAGCCGAGAAGAGATAGTAGATCTCTGAGACTCGCCCGGAATCTGGATGGGAGTCAATAATATTAACTTGGGAGACTGTGATATACTTATCACGTTTAAACAGCTTAACTATTCAGCTTTTACTAACTGGTGGGAAGGTGGTGAAGCATAGCTGTTAAGAGACTGGGTGTTTAACTGAATAGGATTATTTATTAATCAGAGAGCTGGCAGCGATAATAGTCTAGGTAGATATAGATAGATATAGCTGTATATTCTGGTCTATTGCTATAGGATAATAGATATAGCAAATTATTACCGCCCTTTGAAATATATCTATACTAAGTACGTGATGACTTGGTATTATCACCTATACTTATTTTACAGAGATATATAGTGACCTATTGACTGTGCAGAAGCCACACGCCGGGAGGTTAGTAGTTGGGTGGGTGACCACCAGCGAATCCCCCCTGTTGTATGTTTTTTCAATTTTTGTGGTTTTTTGCCATAGTCATTTTCTGGTGCTTAGCGTTTACACAAAGAATTGTCAAGTTCTTGCAAATGGCCCTGAACGGCTGAAAGTGGCGAGATACCCACAACGTCCAGTTTTACTAATGCTTGGTGTATGTCTTTTGTTTATATCCTATAGCCTGTTGCTAGAAGTTACTACTCCATTCTGAAACATATCCCTCACTTATTCAATAATAACTACCCTTCTCAATTCATCACAAGGTATGAGGAAAGACGATGTGGCAAGGAAGAAAGGAATACCGTGAAATCTAATATCTCTATAACTATACATGTAATGTAGGATAATCCAATGATATGTGAACTCTTACCCATCTACCAAATAACCAGCGTGATTTGCATCTAAGGCTTTGCGCTGCATTCTCGCCTCTTGAAAAGAGTAGCAGTATCAAGCACAGTCCCGTTGGAACTGCTGATAAACTCATGGGTGAGGTGCGTGCAGTTGTGGAAAGTGAGCTTGCTCCAACCATACGCCGAGTCCTGTGCCGCGCGCGAGTAAGGCTGGAGAGGATACTTCAAGGAATCCAATCCATCGTAGTGACCAGCAGCACCGTTGGTAATATACCAGGGGGCGCTGGGATTGTTTAAGCCGTTAGGGTCAGCATTGAAAGTCCTGATCGGTGCATTTCGCTCGTATAAGTGCGCGTGACCAGATAGCACCAGGTCAACACCATACTTCAGAAAGATCGGCTCGAAAACCTTACGACAGTCCTCGCAGATTGTGCCGCTCTGATTCTTGGCGCTGATGTACCAGGGACGGTGACCGGCTGCGACTATTAGTTAGTACTGATATCGTAGATCCATATCGATGGATCTTTCCCTTTCTTGAAGAGGAGGTTATGAGGATAGGACTTTAAGAAACGTACCAGCAATAATCCATGGGGTCTTGTTTCGATCCACAGAGCTCAAATCCTTCTCAAGCCAGTTGAGCTGGGCGTCGCGAAGCGTGCTAAATGGGCCGCTTTCCTCACCCTCGCTTCCTCCAATTTCATCCGGACCGATGAAACCGTGCCCGAGGTCAGTTTCCGTGTCGAATTGAACGTAATGCACCATACCACTGTCGAACGAATACCAGAAGTTGCCCACACCCCCCGATTGGGGACTGGGCATGCGGAAGTGGTTACGATAGCCGGTGAAGTTGGTTTGACCGGGCATACAGATGGAGACATTGTAAGAGATGTGATGCGCTGAGTCACTTGTACCACCGTTATCACCTAAAACACATTAGACAGCGTCCGTAGATGGCTGCTTCTTCATTGCTCGGGGGATCAATCTTACAGTTGGCCTCGTGATTGCCAGGGCCCACCATATATGGCTTCTTCGAAGTGATGGCCGACATTTCATCATAGTATTGGTTCAGTAAGGATTCGTAGACTTTGTATCCATCGGCAATGGTTGTATTAGGAAGAAACCCTTGAATTTCCTCCTTGAGCCAATAGTCGGCGTAGGCAATGTCGCCCGCTGCATTAGGGACATGGTCAATATGTAATCTGCGTGCATCTGAATCTAAGAATGAAAACATACGGTGCCATAAGAAGTCCGTGCTTGCTCCCTGTTCTTGGAGAGACTGCATGGTATTGTTGTCCCCAGGCTTCAAAGGGTGGCCTGCGCCTTTGCCGACATGGGTGGTTAGGCCTTCAGGGCCCATCACTCCCATGTCAATTGCTACCGCGACCGAATATGGAGTCTGATCCCCCACAGGGCGACTGGCCATGAAAGAGTATGGCTCGGTAGCATTGCTATGTTCAGGCAGGTAGTAGTAAACAGTGCCTGGCTCCAGATCCAGTAACGGAACATGGTTGTTGTAGGTCAAAGATGTTTCATAAGTGACTGAGACCTCGGAAGAGGCCTCCTGATCCAATTGGTTGGGCTTGCGACCGTAGCGAACCGTGGGCTTGGTCAACTGAGAATAAGTGTTCCAACTGACCATCATACCCTTTTCTCCGGCATATGCCAAGCGCAGTTGCCTCGGAAGAACATCATTCTGGGGCTTCGCAAATGATGTTGATGTGAAGAGTAGCGACGCAGGCAGGACAGCCGACAGGCCCAGAAAACGAACCATGTTGAGCAAAACAGTTTGATTGTTCAAAGATGCTGTCTAATGTCGCAAACATGGCAGGGAGTTTATATAGGGATGGATAAGCTCGACGCTAGAGTGCTTGTTTCCGCTAGACATCTGGACCCTGCCGCACGTGGACCGGGTTTGCCCTGTTATAGGCGCCCACTCCCAAATTAGTCCCCCTTTGCCACGGAACACATACATTACGATCAACTTCAAGCAATCAAGAACTGACAGAGCGATGGGGCGGGGGCAAAGAGCAGGAACTGAATGAAGCACAAGGAGTTTTGTACAAGCTACTGGAACCTGCAGTAAGAATATCTGAAGAAACGAGAATGCATAACAACGGCCCACCACAGACACCCTGACTGGTCCCGACTGTGATGGAACCTTGGTACGTACCGATGTTGACTGGCCTGTCGATCGTACATCGGCAGGATCCGTTTCCACAACTTCGACAGGAGGCACAACGGAGAGGAGCTCTTTTGCATATGCTGCTGCCGTTGCTGTGGCATAGCCGTGCCACTGATCGTTCGTGTGAAATTCCGCATAGTCGCTGATACGCCGGATGACGAGACATGGAAAGTGATCCATCAGTCCGGCAGCCTCCATCTCAAAACACATGATTCCCAGCTGGCGTGCTAGTCGGTCTCGAGTTTTAGCATCCTTCATTACTTGGTTACTAGATGCAATCAGACCGTAGCGAATTCTCGGTTCAGTTGAAGACCGAGTAGGTCAGTTCACTAGCTGGGTGTGGTCGCAGCTTTCACAACTACCGAGGAGGAGCCAGGTGGTCATATTCAGGGTAGAAGAGCTGGTCTTCCTCTTGACCCTGATACGTGAATTCACTAGTATGGCTGGAAGTCATAACTGCCAACTAGGAAATGTGCTTCGAAAGGTCGCAGCCGTCCAATAAATTGTTCGACTGGTGTTTATTCAGTGCCGTCAACAACAGCTGCGACGACTTATTCAACGTCCCAGTGCGCTCAAATAGCCCCCCTCGGATGGCTTTCCCGTAGTGTACTGGACCACTCCCCCGAAGCCTTTCGTCGGGTTGCTAACTACAACGTCTCCCAGTCGAATATCCGTGTCTCTGCTTGGTACTCCTCCGCCGATCCCCATCATCAATGAGAACCGGAGCGATGGGAATCTGGATACCATTTGGGAGGCCACGATCGCTGGAGGTATCGTTCCGTATACTCCCGATGGTAGACAGACGATGACAATATTGTGACAACCTATAGTGGCGAGTGTGTAGGTGTTGTGATCACTTGGAGAACTCAACAAATCTGGGTGGACTTCGTCCAGCATTGCTTTGGCTGCAGCCATTTCTAATGGAAGAGCACAAATCCATCCAACCGTGTAGTCGTTATGCGAGAATGGTATCTTTGCAGTACCCATCTTATGGGTAACTGGAGTGTTTTACCTGGCTGTATCGGCGTTAGGTGTGGCGTCACCTAGATTGTCTTTGGTGAAAAGATACATCAAGTATAAAGATGAAACTAGACGAGAGTCGACAGTTGGTATGAAAAACGTTTATATACTCTCTATTTCTCTTTTCTTTTATGTTTCGAGTGCTGTGTACAGCCAAGGCAGATCTGAACCAAATGTCTTTCTGATGCGGAGGTCAGCCTTCTCCGCCGATGAGGGGTGGACATGTACTCTTTGGTGGGGCGTAAGCTGGACACCAGGATCTACTGGTACCCAACGTATTCTGAGTGGACAATACGACACTCCCATCGCCCGGAAGGGATGTCTGTACTTCGACCCTTCGGTCGGATCACTATTAGAAGGGTTGGATACCATGGAGCGCCAGGCATTGTATATTAATGTTCTCTTTGCTGATACAGATCCGACAAGGCATCCAAGTTGGGCGCAGAAATGGTTGGATAGACTTGTTGATAACGCCAGGTCATATAATGTTTCCCAGGAGACTTTGGACCATCTAGGGAGAGTAGAGATGGAGAGAAACTTTTATGAGAAAGGCGTTTTGTATGCTCCCTAGCCCTTAAGCTTCGAGACTATTGATTGGCAGTATTGCTAACGATGACGATCTTCAGCGACTACACCTACACTCTGACAGCATGTAAACAGGCCAATGCATCCTATACCATCATATTCGAACATGACATCATTCTTGCGACAGGCTGAATGACCAAGACTCTAAAGGCCCTGGCGGATATCGACCACATCACGCAAAATTCGAATTCCTGGATCTATCTCCGCCTCTTCTATACCGAAACAGCACTAGGTTGGACGTCCTCCGATTTCGCCTATAGAAACATGCCTCTCATCTTCTTCCTCAATATACTTTCGGTATTCTTGTGTTTATTGCAGCTCAGACGGTGGCGCTTCGCGCCCTACCTTGACTTCCTTAGCGTGTCCGTTATCTGTCTAATCTGTGTACCGGCATTTACAAGCCTGATATGCATGATGGGAAAGTACACCATTATGCCTCTTCGGGGCGTGGTGGAGATGAACAAGTTTGGCTGTTGTACGCAAGGCCTAGTCTTTCCAAGAGCGCTGGTGGATGGCGTTATAAGTTATTTGATGGAAAGGGGGCATGGGCAGACAGATTCTATGATTGAGGAGTATGCGGATCAGGAAGGGCTGGCAAGGTATGCTTTAGCACCGCCGGTACTTCAACACGTTGGACTAAAGTCTAGCCGGGATAACCTTGACATTAATACAAGAAGTACCTGGGCATTTTGGTTTGAGGAAAACGATCCAATGGTTCTCCAGGCTGACCATGAAAGGCTTTTGAGTGATATTAATGTTTTAGGAATATTGGGGGGTCATAGCTGAATGTGTAGACAGCGAAGCTCTATGGTTTTACCTATGTAAATATATTCGGAATGCACATCTTGTGGAGATTTGGTTTAAACAATTACGCTAGACAACGCCTAATGGGCTGGCAAGAGCTTTTCAGGGGAGCCTTTTATGACACTATACGTTCCCGGCAGATGTATTTATCTATAGGCTAAACTATGATTCACGAAAGCCACGAGAGACGAGATCGTATGTGACTATGATACCAAACCGACTAGGAAACGCCTAATTATCACTCACATGTATGCTCCACTATGCCCGCCCTAGAGTTCATCAAGAGTGCGACTATCAACCCGTAAAGACCTTATAAAGATATTAGTTCAGAGGCTGTATAAAGGATTGGCATTATTACTTACCCAAGACCTCTGCAAAAATTAGAATTAGAATCATGCCCACATAGAGTCGAGGTTGTTGTGCTGTTCCCCTCACACCAGCATCACCCACGATTCCGATAGCGAACCTATCGGCAACGTTAGACGAAACCTGAAGCATACCCAGTATTGGTGTGTTGACAATTCGTCCTTACCCTGCAGCCAACCCTGCAAGACCAACAGCGAGCCCTGCACCCATCTGTACGAGGCTCGTGTAGATGGTTACCTTCTGCGCAAGATTGTTCGCAATCAATACAGAAACGACCAGTCCGTAAATACCGAGTATTCCGGCCATGACGACGGGGACGATGTCTAAATATTATTAGTCAGTACGCTGTGATGGTGAATGCAGTATTACATACTCTTCACGATTAGATCAGGTCTCAGAACACCCATGGAGCAGATCCCAACACCAGCCTTCGCAGTGCCATAGGCCGCACCGAAGGAAGTAAAGACGATAGCACTTGCACAGCCTACGGCACCAAAAAACGGCTAATACTCAGATTAATTACTACCCTTTGTGGGTGTATCTTCATGTTTGGGTATATGGCGTTAGACGTACTGCGTAGACAGGGCTGCCGGTTCTGGCGTCAGCATAGAATTCGAGGTTATCTTATAGCTATGCATATACAGAGGTCTTACCAAAACTCGGAAACCATGGTCACTTGCGGGTAGCGTGTCCTCAAGTTGCGGGAGACTACTAAAGCTGGAATCGTTGTCGGGTTTTGAGTCAAATGTTAAAGAGCACCGGAAAATATTTCACAAACGGAGTAATGGCGAAGAAGTAGGCGTCGCCTCCTCTACTATCCTTATACCCTGTCTGGTATTGCCTGGGTTATGGCATGAGCAATTTAGGCAGCAAGAGACAGGCAGCCTAATCAAAGAGGAAGCCGCATGAGACGACAAAGGTACGACTCTTTAGAGAAACTCTTTTAAATATTTCAAGAGTAAGATAATAGATTAAGCCCGACTTATGTCCCCAGTCTCGCGTCTCGTTTTAAAGCTGCTGGGTTTAAAAATGTCAAGTCCGAAGCCAAGGATACACCTCTATATCTTACTCTTATTCTGTATAAATGCAACCTGTTAATCACCGATATTCTGCCACGCAAGATAAAGAATAAAAAGATGAAGGAATTTGTTAAGGAGATAATGCCCTGGGTTGAGAGCGAAACTCGTGAAGGTTCCTGCTGGGCCTTTTACTCGGTGGAGTGTGGTAGGGAGGAAACCCCAGTAGGCAACACGGTATACTTTGGTGACCTGCCTGCATATCACTAACAGATGCTCACACTTCCCACTGGCACAAATTTGGTTTACGTTACTTTATCCAGTGATTAATTTATGTCGCGTAATTTACCATTGGCTGCTAAGTCCCCACATGGCGTTCGATGTACATATACATATCGCTTGTTCTTTGGATTGGCAGTGAATGCGTTTACGGCTCAACAGTCCTGTTAAGCTCTGTATGGAGGCATGAGGTCCGCAATGATGTAGTGGAAGGGTAATATCTTTTGAGCTATACAATGTGGACTTCGGTCGACGTCAATACAAACCCTCATTCGCGTACAGGCAACGATTTAGTACCCAAGCAATAATCCTTGGATAAAGCCCTGTCGCCTGATCGCGCGCTGACGACAACTTTTGGCTTCAATGTGTACACAGCCGAGAGGAGGCACTATTATTAGCAGAGAACTAAAATACACACTTCTTTGTTCGAATTACATTTTTCGTTCTGGGATCTAGTTGTCCACATGGGGTTCCCTAACTATATGCGGTAAAGTGTAACCCGCCCCAAACCCCGATCCCAGTAGGTTTTAGTACCTACCGGGAGCCCCTCATCCTAACGCTCACAGTATAATATGTTATGACCGCCAGGCTACAGCTCCGAAGGTGAGAAAGCTTAGCGTGTTATTGGAACAAAATTCTTAGCCCGGCTAGATTGGATAACCCGCTTCGCTGGGAGCCTATATATGTACCTACACTGTGCCGCATCCCAACAAGGTATACTAGGTGAGAATCACACCTGAGCAGATAATGAGTGCCCCGCTGTTCTCTTCCCCCTTCTGCGGCAATATTCCGTCTTCATCCGAGGTTGCATTCCGAGCCCGCAACTATTTCCCACTGAAGTGTAAGTTGGCTGCGCCGGTTGCTCTACCGGACGGGGGCTTCGAAACGTGAGATGCCTTAGTGATACCGGGCCATAGGCAGTTTCAGACAGTTATTCATGATTAGTGTACAATCAAAATAGAAACTAGTTTGGTGGCTGTGTAACATTTACCAGATTATGTGGAACCAGCCCGCCAGTATGCACTATTCGACGAGGCTGAAAAGGTCAACTGCTTCGTGGCGTTCAACCAAGCATACCCTAGACCGATATACATAGGACATCTAGTAATATAGGGTGTTGGTCCGACAATCGTGTACCACTTCCACCCAATATGTAATTATTAGCAATGCTTATACATGATGGTAATCAACAGACTTCCACAACTAAATAGTAAAATATATAGTTTTCGCTAAGACGTCCGAAAGACGAAGATATAACACATCCTAGCTGACAGGTTCTACCGTGATGTTCTAATATTCATAGAATAATTTAAGAAGAACCCAAAGACTCCTCTTTGGTAAATACCCTTGTGTTGGTTGTACAACATGAACCTCGGAGGTCAGATTGATGAAGAGTATCACATACGCAAACATTCCACACATTCAACGTAAGATAATCTATTGATGTAGCCCTCCCGTTTCTCTGGACTATCAACCAGGACACTGTTAACACTCTTTCTGTTTCCTGGAAGGGTTGCCGTTTCGCAAGCAAGTTCTTTCCCATTGCGCTATCCCATAGGTTATATGTTAATTTCAACTGGAGTAGAACGCCATGACTTCCAGTCCTTCACTATATTGACAGGTTCACAACCTTTCAGGAATACGTTACATGAGATATATCTCATTCTAAATTTGATCTCTTCTAGATACAAAATTTGAACATAAATATATAAAATAAAACTGGCTATGTGTAATATAGAAAGCTCTGGAGTATTAGATTTGTGGATCGATTGGTTCGAGTCTAGAATGAGCTGTAAAGCAGCTGTTGGTAACGCGTCTGTTGCAACTGACGAACGCCTACAGCCAGAATGAAAAGCGAAACAGTATTATCGTATGGGTCTTTTGCTGCGCTGCTGCAGCCTCTACATAGCTATACCATGCAGATTCCTGCACATTTACGAGATGTTTGGCCTTCAACTTCTCCACGATAAGCGTTCCCACTTTCCCTGCTTTCGCGATTTTTGGAATAGCCAAATCAACATTGAGTGGGCGGCGAGTCGAATTCTTGATCCCAATTGACATAAGTGAGTCAGTTTTGATATTGTAAATAAATCTCCTCATTGGTCATATCTCTCTCGTTGGAACCATCTCATGAATTTAGCACGCTTGGAATTCCGGCTGTCCAATCAATCTGCTGGATTGCGGGCCGGGAGCTATGCACACTTACATAATCTCTCAATAAAAGACATCCAAATGTGAAGTTAAAACCAGATGGATTGTAGTTCGTGCCGATCTATCATTTGCCAGAGTATGCAATCGTGGACCGCTGATCTTCTTCTATGCGGGGTACCATACTCACACCGCTCTGAGACGTCAATTTCCACTCTCCACCTTCTTCATCCGAGATCCAAGCTCTGTGCTCGGCCCTTGTATATATTTCCCCATTATTTCCGAAGAAATGTCTGCCCCTCCTTTCCAGATCCCTGGACAACCATTCTTCACTGAGCTTTTCCAGTGCTGGCGGAAAACTCCGAAGAAGACATTAATTCGTGATTTGTCAGGATGTTGCCCAGAAGCCACACTGGAAAGGTTTTTGTATGATGTCGTGACCCTTCGGACTCGGCTCTGGGATAGTCTTGACGAGCATGCCAAGCAAGCGCTTCGTGATCCCAATGCAGACAATGTATTTATTGCGGTTCTGGCCACTCCGGGATATGAATACGCAGTGCTTTGCTACACCATCTACAGTGTGGGGGCGGTGATTGTACCTCTCTGTGCGTTAGGTCCTGTCACTCTCATCCTATAACTAGTGTTTCTAACTAGATAGGAAAGCACCTGGGGTTCTTGTAGAGGAAGCCAAGTACTTCCTTGAGCTCTGCGATGCGGTACTCCTCACAACAGGGACGGCGGGCGTCCAGCACGCCCAAGCTATATCCGCCCACGTCGGTGTCCAGTCCTTCACGTTTAACCCCACACAATCCCCCCCGCCAGACAATCCGGCATTTGTCCTGGAGTCACACGACCGGTGTGATTCCGTTAACATGGAGAAAGGATTTGTCCTACTGTACACCTCGGGCACCACGGGCCCACCCAAGGGCGTCCTTCATTCCCGGCGAGGTGCCGTCGCGGGTCTGCGATCTCTGATGGGTCACATGGGCATGTCGCCCCATGATACATGGCTCTTGCATTCTCCGGTTCACTGGATGGGTGGATTCTGGCAATTTTTCATAACCCTGTTAGCTGGAGCATGCGTTGAGTTTTGTGCCAGTGTTTGCAACCCGGATTGGCTGATGGAGCGCTTGTCGGCTGGCGATGTGTCGTGCATGGTTATGACTCCGACCATGCTCGATAAAATGGAGAAGAAGCTAGACGCGGCTCAGAAATCATGGTCGTCGTCCAGGTACGAGTCGGTATTGGCAGGTATTCGCGCTCTTCGCGTCTTAGCCACGGGCTCTATGCCTGTTGGTCCAGTTCGACGGACTGTCTGGAAGGATCTGCGTGGGGGAAAGCCACTCGTCGATCTTTACGGGATGACTGAAGAGCTTGCAATGATCGCTAGGACCTCATGGGAGTCAGATGAAGGTATACCACTGGTAGGGCTCCTTTAGTCACGTCGTTACCCTAATGTCTACTAAAAACAGTCTATCCATGTAGGAGTCTTGCGGCATACCATCGGAGCTGGTGACGTTGAAAGTTAATGACGAAGGAGAGCTTCTTGTCAAAAGCCCGGCCCTCTTCACGAGGTAGGTACTACCCACAGGTGTACACTGCCAGAAAATGGTGTAGTTTTAACTCTAAATCCTGACAGGTACCTATCGCCTAATCCTGAGGTTATGAGGGGAGTTTTCGACAGCGATGGCTTCTACAAAACAGGAGATCTAGCGCGGCTGGAAGGGGGCTATTTGTATATCCACGGCCGCGCATCTCAGGATGGTTAGTTGTCCCAAAATCAGGATTGGAATAACGTTGTTGCTCACTGATCTACAGTTATTCGCTTCAATGGATGGAAGGTATTTGCCCCGGAGGTCGAAGAAGCGCTGTCTACCCACCCGTATGTCTCCCAGGTAATTATCCTTGGTGTATCTGATCTCCACACAGGACAGAGAGTTGCAGCATTGCTCATTCCAAGGTGGGACAACACGTCTGGCAATAACTTAGATTTGGCGACCATCCGGGGATGGCTTTCTCAAGAAAAAGGAATCCTGCAATATAAGTTGCCCACGCTTCTGCGTGTGCTGCGGCCGACGCAGAAATATCCGGTGACGTCGAGTGGAAAGCCCATCAAGCCACAGATCCGAGAGGAACTGTTTAACAACACAGAGCTGGTCAATGGCACCGTGGAAGTGTGGGACCTAGCTGCGAAGGAGCCTGGTATGGCTGCGCGGCCGTTTGACTGGGCGGGGATCTAACTGCGAAAGTGTATATAAAATCTCAATTCAGCATATACAGAATTGACAGAAAAATAGATATGTAACCTTGGTAGATCCACGAGTGTCAAGCATACTGTTTAACAAACATCACCTGGTGGGCAGATAATACCATCCCCTTGATCCAATACGCACCCGCGCTGTCCACTCCCTTTCCTACGATCGCCAATTGTTCTTCCTTTTTCCCGGGAGATACGGTCAACTCGAACTCACACGGCCAACGGGTGTCCTCCCTGGCTGAGCTGTATGTTCCTTTCCATCGACCATTGATGCGCCGGATTTTCTCCCTATTATCATCCGTTAGCAGCCACCACCGTCCATCTAAGCCGATGTGTTGGCAGCTTACCCCGCGGATACGACATCCTCGTCATCCACCTGCTGAAAGGCAAAGAACCCCATCGGTCCATTGCGAATGTCCCCCCACGAGCCATGGACCACACTGAGCGCTCGATCCAATTTCCCAGCGTACGTCCATCCATGTGTGCTGTAGTTCTTTTGTAAATTTATCAAGTCTTTTGAGTCAAGCGTTCCCGCTATTGTGAACGAGCCAGCATCATCAAAACCTTGTCCATTGATGCGGGCCCGGGTGCGGTCGTTGAGATCACTTTCAAAGGACAGAAAGAACTCAGACTCGCCGTTGACGGTTGCGTTTGAATTGTCCAGGGTGTAGACACCGGCCCATTGGCCATTGAGGGATCTAAATGGAGACTGGTTGAGTATTTTTCGTCTTCAAAATAGTATAGCTGTAAGGAACCTAGTAGGATTGACTCACTTGACCTCCATAGACATTGCGCTTAGATGAGATGGGAGAACTCTCTATTCCTCTTGGGTGGGTAACACCCTCAAGCGAGTCTCTCAGGACTATATATATCATTTGGACAAGTAGTAGAAAGGAAACAGATCGTTGATGCAGGTCCAGTCCTTCATCACGCTGCATATGGTGGAAGTCAAGAGATCCTCTCAATGCTTCTGGTCGAAGAGGTAGATATAACAGCAACAGATGATCATGGAATGGCCGCTCTTCATTGGGCCGTCCAGAGTGGTAGGGCAGCCGCAGCTGCAGCAACAATAGAACAACTACTTGACGCTGGAGCCGACGTTTTTGCACGTGGGAATTGTGGAAGAGCTCCACATAACTGGGCATCCTTTCCACCCCTGTTTGATGAACCTCTTCGTCGGGCAATGCGCTGTATTGTGGCTGTGGCCAAAAGCACACGCAGCTTGCGGCTCCTTGCCGTCGTCCTACTTTGAAATTATTAAGAGAAGGAGGATCTAGCTATACCGGGGAATTTACTGTTCGAGCTGATCCATACAACTTCATCCTAATGGCGGGTTTAAGCAACCTACCGCCTGAGATGCTCGCGCTTATTTTTCAGACTCTGCCTTCTACAGCTTTATACCCACCTCTATCTTGCTCTAAACATCCTCCACGGCATCCTCTCCTTTTCTCTACGTTTCGTCCAAAGGGATTTGCAATCAAGCAGACTTTTGGAAAATATTCAGTCGGTCGTGAATGCGACTGAGCGAGATCATACCATTGAGCTGCGTGTCAAAGCTGGACTTATTGATAATTTCGACAATGATAATAATAATCCAATCCTACGACGCTGTTGGTTCTTCGGTTACTCTTTTAAGCACCGGACGTACAACAATTAGCAATGCCTGGACCGCCAAATGTTCTGCCTGGCTGAAGAGATCCATCTTCATCAGGCGATCTTCAATATGGAACATCTATCTATCTGACGCGGAAGTCCACCAAGGCTGCTGACCAGGACAGGACAAGCTCAGAATGGATGAAGAATACCGTGACGAGAGGTCTCCTCTGTGGGGAAACCCGTAAGCTCCATCTGCCTTTCGGGTTCCGCCAAAGTGGCAATTTCTTCGAAGACGTTCAAGTCTGCGTAGACCTTAATGGATTCTGTCTTTCTGCGGCTCGTATCCACAAGATTCGACGTGATTACCGGGTTTGTTCCATGATCTGGCTCGTCCGATAGTCCAAGCCCCGGGTTGGTCGTGTCGCGGAGCGAAGTCGCCGCCACATGTTTTGCAAGCTTTTGACGGAGATAGACTTGCTGGTCTGTAGCCTGCTCTAACTTGCTGGCCCAACCTTTCATGGACACGTTAAGATCTGCCATAGCTTTTGTTCGGATCAACACGTTTTTCCTGCACTCAGCAAAGTCCGTGCTTTGGGACCCGAGGAGCCGAGTTGTACGTTCCTGCAGACCACGGAGCTCGAATTCGAGTGAATTGTAAATACGGCGAATCTGTTTGCAGCGCTCCTCAAGTACCCGGAGTTCCTTTATGACGTTAGCTGGTGGGCATTAACATACAACAGCGCGGGTCCTAGCTTCATACCAAAGAAAGTGCCCTAACTTCACCACAGTTTAATGCTTTGAATTCCTCAGCCTGATGCTTAGCGTAGGGGTGCAGACATTCTATCTCATTTGGCGAAAAGACCGGGCTAGCACCTGATGGAGCAACTGCGAGAGGGAGCATGAAGCATGCTCGGCGTTCTGTCGAGAAATATCCCTTGTTTAGATTCCTACTAGTTGTGCCATTCGTCCGTGTTGATCTGCCCCGTTGCGTGACGGATGTGTCGGATTGATACCTTACATGTATGCCACGGATTCGTTGCGGTGTCCCAGGAAGTGTACACGCAGATCTTACCTCCGGTGATGCATCTTCAGCTTTGGTATGGCGTTGGCCTTCCCGATTGCTTGGTGAGTTGTGTACACTTGGGAATCGTCGGCCCAGCAGAGCTCCTCCACTGTGGAACCTATATGGGCCGTCGCAATGATGTATGGCTTGGCTCATGTATGGAGGCTTTGTGCCGAGCGGGTCGGATGCGAAGTATCTTCCGTGATTCGAAGTTGGGAGATCTCTCCATGGCGAGATGAACGTACATTGTTCTTGCTGAAGCTTTGGAGAGCGATCCATCGTTCGTGGTGACTTTGGGGGCACCGGAGGGGGACTTGTTGTTTCAGGCTCCGCGCTGACGGCGAATAATTCAACTGGGTGAATTGAGCCCTCCGTATCTGTCTTTGTAGTCTTGGGGAGTGCGTCTTGATATTTGCTAGTCGGAGGTGACAGCTGCACCGACGCAACTTCTGCCTGTGAGGGAAGAATAAGGGGCCCAGAAACTGGGTGAAGTATGGCAGCGTTGAAAGGTTTGGTTGGCGATTTAGCAGTCGAGATAATTTTTGATTTCTCACTATTAGGAGAAGGCGCTGGAACTTTCGATGTAAAATATGAGCTTCAACTTTCGACCACAATACGAAGGCTCATCGACTTACGCGAGTCCGTAGGATTTGATTTTACGGTGTTGATGAACCTGGATCTGCCGTCTGGTATACTGGCATTGCATCGCGATGTACCCAGTTGTTCATGTTTTTCAGAAGTAATCGTGACTTTGTCAGAATATTTGGTACTAATCTCTGGCAGACAAGGGCTTGCTTGACTGGGAGCCAATTGGCGGGCCCGGGATTTTCCTGTTGTGCCAAAAGGGGCATATTGCTTGACTCTTGACCACAATTGAAATCTCAATCGCCTAGCAGAATTTTGCCGATACGTGCCGTCATTGTCATGCGGAATCTTGGACGAGGTCTGCTAAGACGTGTTATTGTGGAGCAGTTCCCTAGTGATATATTGGATAATTGGCGCTTATAACTCACCACAACGTCAGGCCGTGTGCGAAGGGTATCATTCATGCCGGTCGGGACGCTGTTGTAATGCGAATTCTGCATGATGCGTACGTCTAGGCTGGCAAGTAACGCCTGAGTTCCAACCCAGCGCTGATAGCCACAGCTTGCCGCTAATGCTTTGTGCAGTTGTGAAAGCCTGCTCAACCGCCTATATGGTGCGGGGGGGCACTACCACTGGAATGCCCTGGAGTGGCAAAATACTCTTAAATATGGTATATAAAGCCGCAAAACCTTCCTTAGTTCGGCCTAAAGTAAATATATACTAGCTCAAGTTATGATCGTGTGTTCAGGGCGCTTGGTTACTACGACAAACTAGTACTGTATGACATCTATTCATGCAAAGAGAGCTTGTTCGGTCAGTTCTAAAATCAACCTTTCGTCACCTTCGACAGAACACCTGTTCTCTGAACCTAGAGAGTAAGTCAAGTGGCAGGTTAGTCCCACACAGAGCATGTCCCGGGCGTGCACCGCAGTAGAGAACCAGAGTTCATGCCTGACAACCGAAGCTAGAACAAAGCCAATGACTAGCTACCATTGTTAAGCGAGGTACAAGTATGTCTCAGTTTGGTGGAGTCTCCTACGGTGTTCGGGTTGTCAGAGGATGCAGATGACCCGACACACGTTTATTATGGCAAGATCTTCTGGCCATTTAAGCTTTCCCTTCAACCAGAGTGGGCCTGTCTCTTTCTTGTCTATAGTTGTTTGCTTCTGTCAACCTCAAAACTAGTTTTTGTATACTTAGCCCCTCTGGACGTCGCGCAACTGAACGTCTAGGAAACGCTTAAGATGGCAGTTTAGAAGTTCTTTACAGCGTGGCCGCTAGTAAACCAGAAGGAGAGGGGTTTGGAATCTCAGTGCAGTCTTACATTCTGTGCTTGGGTCTACTGTGTGCCCCACATTTTGAATCCCCTTTCCGTCGGCAGTAAGGGCCACTCTAACCTGGTGTACTGTACGATTAGACTGTAATTGACTGACCAATGTAAGCATAAACAATGCAGTCCTCAATCCATGCTGTATATTAGTCTGATTCTCTGAAAGCATTTGGGAAGATGAAGTGGATTGTTCATGCGCATTCGGGAACAGAACATCAATCCATCTCAATAATCCCACAGAAATCGAGGGCGTTGGCACGCTGTAGAAGCCCATATTCGGCTCACAAAGAAAGTAAAGAAGAAAAAAAAGATTACAAATGCTCTCCAGGCACACGCCATTTCTATGATCTGGACTTTCTATGTATGGGTCAGCATTTGGAATTGCACTTTACGGGGGATGTGTGGTGACCAGAGAGCTCCAACTTCGTAATCTGCTGTTACACCAGAGACTTTGTCTAGCACTGATTACACGAAGCTTACTCCGTAAGCAATGACAGAGAACTGACCAGCAGTTCAAGCAAACCCCTATAAACCGCATGGGCAGTGCTAGGCTACAGATGCAGTCCAAGCGGCATGAACTCTCTCTAGGCTCACGATGAACAAATGCTGCTAGTCAATCTTAAGCCTAGCGTAAAAGCAGTTCTAGATCAGCTATTGCGGCGCACTGAAGCTAACAATTATAGTCCACGGAACTGCAGTACATAACGGTATTCTAAAGTTCTTGTGTAATTTTTGACTCTGGAATCGGAGCTCCACGAACACGATATCCTTGAAAAGCTTCGGAAGACTTTCTGGATGTGGCGACTCAACCTCTCATGACGAGCATTGTGCCAGTGTGCTTTGTAGCACTGCGGGAGTAGATCTTTCTACCCTAGTCAATGGATAGTGGACGTCAGGGTCCTATTTTCCCCGCCAATCAGCCCCAGCTTGAAACGGCCATGGTTTTAGATTAGGCCTACGGTCATGGTGGACCTAAGGTGTTGAGATCCATTATTTTAGCTAATGGTGAGTATGTTGGGATTGTATCCCAACGAAAGATTGGACAGAGTCATGTTCCATATTTCAGACACCCTAGCCAACTGAACACTCTTCGTGGTGTATATAAAATAGCACTCTTTGAGGGCTTTGGTATACCAAACACCAAGCATCTACAAGGGTGCAAGGTTTAAGTATGAGGTATAGTATTGTTACATGGAGTTATATCTAGATGCTACAGCCTCGTAGTATCTGTGTATACACCGGTAACATAATTGCATCTGTATTTTTGGTCGTCTAGGGATTAAAAAAGAGGCGTAGTAGTTTTAAACCATATGAAAGAGCAGAGCGGACCGCTGATCGGCACAGTTCAAAGGGATGGTGCTCGGCATACAGAGACGAATCATAGACTGTCAGCTATGTTAGCTAAATATTTTACCTACATTATAGGCGTGTCTGGCTCGTTGGGAATTAGGTTCAGCTCCACAGCCCGCTAGACCCGGTACGGATTCTTTATTTTAGTCTAGTTGGCTAAACCAAATTCGGTGACAGGTTAGAGCAACTTATAACCTAATGATCGCCTACTCCGTACTATACTGGGAGTTGTTCGCAGCCACAAGCACCGCCCATTACGTACATAATGGCTATGGTTCCATTATCATCGGCCGTTTGACTTCCAGAAGCCGCTCTTCGTCCCGCTTGAAGTTCCAAGTTCTTGTGAAGGTCAACAGCTTCGGTGCTAGCGCCCCAACCCTAACCGCTGGAAAGCTTAGCATATGGCTGCGACGCAACTGTTGCTTACTGGATACCGATTTGTTCGTTCCTGCCGTTGTTCCAAAAGGGATCTAGTCCAAAGGGATCTGTGTAATTAGTGCCAACTGTAGTGGAGCCATCCCCTTAGAACCGGGCCAATTGCCTCGGATGATGTTACCCTCCAGCCGCGGCTCCTTCCATCGACGGGTTTCCAGAATAAAGGCTAACACGAACGGCTAGTGGAAAGAAAATATCAAGTTCGGCTCCCTAATTTGGGGGGCTGTGAAGATTTTGATGGGGCAATACAACACGAGGCTGAGGGGAAAACACGAGGGAGCCCAGTGGAATTGGGCCGCTATTGATCCTAATGCGACAGTATTATTGGTGCTCGTGTCGCCGTCGGTAGTTTAATTTATGGATCAGCGAATCCATCCACGGGTAGACAGGTACACCTCACTCAAGAAACAACCGCGCCCTTGCTTCGATGGTACTCAACTCCACAGCCCACTCGCAGATGTCGAAGTTCCCCCTCTTGACCTTGTCCTCTCAGAGCCTTTTTCCTTTGTGGGAGACCTTGCTCATCTCCTTCGTGTCGTGTTGAAGAATCGGGAAGATGCGACCTTGACAGCACCCGAAATAGCAACCAGCTAGTCAGGAAGAGCTCGCAGCACTTTTCTTGTTGATACATTGGGTTGCGGCACGAACAGAGGCACGAAAACCAGGGCAACGACTCATCTTCAAATGAGTTCTTCAATGCCTCTCGTAGGCCCCAGTTTGGCTATCTTCGTCGTTTCCGTTGTGATGATGGCTCTCTCCACTGTGACAGTCCTGCTGAGGACCTTCGTGCGACTGTATATCCTCAGAGCCTTTGGTTGGGATGACGTCCTTATACTGGCAGCTCTAGTGGGTTATCCATGGGACAATTTAGCGAAGATCTTCTGCTCATAATTTTGTAGGCTTTATTCGTGACATTGAGCGTCTGCTGTTTCATCGGGACAATGAATGGTGTCGGCCGCTCAAGGGCAGAGTTCACAAATATGGAAGTCTATAGAAAGGCCTTGCTAGTAAGTACTGATTCTTTGAAAGAGCATCTCCAGTTTATTTCAGCCTTCGGACATTGCGGTCGCTAAGCAGGATTGTGGCTTTGCAGTACTGGTGGCTCAGTCAGATCTTCTACGTATGGGCGTCCGCCCTGACCAAGGTATCTATTGCTATCTCTCTCCTTCGGTTAACAGTTTTAAAGATTCATCGTGTGATTCTTTGGAGCAACATCGGTCTTACCATTGCTGTCGGTGTCATGTTTTGGCTTGTCTTGCTCCTGGCCTGCGATCCAATATCCTACTTCTGGGATTTTGCGGATCCCACGAAATCAGGGACTTGTATGTCCGAGAAGATCCTGGTCGAAATCGCGTATGTTTACAGTTCTCTGACAATCGTGTGTGATTTGACGCTTGGAATTCTGCCTTACTTCCTCGTCTGGAAGCTTCAGATGAACAACAGAACGAAGTTTGCAGTTGGAGGAATTCTCAGCATGGGCGCCATGTAAGCGATCTGGTTTATACTGCTTGGTTGTCAAAGTTGATGCGGCTAATAGTTTCGTGCTAGTGCAAGCGTCGCTGTCATAATTCGACTTCCGTTCCTTCACTTCTATGCAGATGCTAATTTCCTACGTAAGTCTCTGGAAGCAAACAGCCGGGCGCGCCTATGGTGACCACCTTCGAATATAAAATGTAATTAATATGGCTCAAGGTTCCACCTACCAGATCGCCATCTGGTCCGTCGTTGAAACTGGCCTCGGAATCACAGCAAGCAGCCTCGTAACTCTTCGTCCCCTTTTCCGCTGGCTGCTGGATGAAAGCCTATCGCCCGTTCGGCATGCGCGCAGCTCCGGAAGAGACTCTGGCAAATACCCGCTCTCCAGCCTGAAAAGTCATGGCTTGAAGAACTCTGACGATCCGAGCTTTTGGCGCCCCGATTGTAGGTCCGAAAATGACAACGGTGTGATTAGTACCGTATTGTCTTCCCTGCCTCAGGATTCTATCGATTACAGCAGCAGCCAGGAGGCTTTGAATCATCAAATGTGGCCTGCCACTTTGCAAGATCATATCACTATTCAAAGGACTCTAGTACAAACTACGTCAGAGCGATAGAAATAGACCGAATTTGACGCATAGAGCTACCAGGCCCTCATTCGCTGGTCATCGAATATCCCCCTTTGATACAACACCTGTAGAGAATGTATGCCGAGCCACTCGGCCAACCTGAAGTCAAATCGGGTTCTCTGAGTGACAAGAGCGTGCTGTTAACTCTCATGACTTTAGCTATCTTATTTTTATGGTACTTAACGGCTTACTAATGCTCTTAATAGGTGTAATCATGGTTCTGAGACCACGTAGACTGTAGCAGAGATGATAAAAAACGTACTGCTGTTGGCTTCAACATGAGCAATGCGCAGACATGGGCTATCCTGAGCTTCTATGAGGAACCTGTACCCCGTACACTTATTCGAAATACGAGATATGTTCCAAGCATGAAACAATGGATCATTGGATCGTTGCATTCATTATACCAAATAAACCGCTAGTGTCGAGCTTAGCGCGACCTGAAACCATAGCCACTGCAACATGGCTAACGAGATTCTCCCAGTGGCCCGAGCTGAAAGCATGCTGAAGTGTCATGAGTACTGCATGTTCTGATTGCATAACGTTAAAAGCTGGAGTACCAACGTAACCATTTCTGGATATCCCACAAGTGTATCCATATGAGCGTGAATTCAAACGCGCAGATACGCTACCAGCCATCGGCAGAACAGAACAAGATGCTGTTTGGTGGAAGACATGAGAAAGAACTTGGGTGAAGACCGAAACCCGGGCGTCTGACGTGTCAAAAGGCGCAGAATCATTGAGAGATCTCAAATGGCATGGATCTTCAGTCTGTGTTTCATATACATTGGGAAGCAAATGTGCGGGTATCGCAGGCGAACATGCAAAGTGAACACTTCGCTTGTGTGCTGCCTACTCGCAAAGGACCCATTATGTTGGGCACATATAAAGTCCCTTTCTCTTTCCCTCAAATCGTCTTTCTCTTCCTCATCCTGTTCTACGCATTCTCTCATTCTCTTTTTCTTCTTATCAGATCGTTAGCTTTACTTCATTGACTGAAGTTCACTCCCTTTACTTAACAATGTCTCTCTCTAAGGTTGCATGGCTCATCTTAGGCACAGCTGGCCTGGCCGCAGCTCATGGACACATCGATCGTATCGACATTGATGGCAAGTCCTATGGTGGATTCCTGGTTGATCAATACCCTCATGAACAAAACGTCCCTGACCTCATTGCCTGGTCAACTGCGGATACTCAGGACGCCTATGTTCAAACCTTTGATTACAACCAGTCAAATATTATCTGCCACCAGGATGCCAAGCCTGGTGTCCTTGCTGGCGAGGTGGCTGCTGGTGGGAAGGTGACCATCCACTGGAGCAGATGGTTTGAAGATCACCGTGGCCCGGTAAGTTTCAGGATCACGTTGCAACGGGACTTGTTCGAACCCAATGAGAAAGCTAATACAGAGTAGGTGATTAGCTATCTTGCGAACTGCAATGGGAGCTGCGCTTCTGTGAACAAGACCAAACTTGAGTTTTTCAAAATTGACGAGGCTGGTCTTCTCGACAACAGCAAGTCCCCCGGAAGATGGGCCAGCGATGAGCTCATGGCTGCCAACAATACCTGGACAGTCAACATCCCTTCCGACATTGCAGCAGGCAATTATGTTCTTCGCCATGAGATCATCGCATTACACAATGCAATGAAAGACAATGGTGCGCAAGCTTACCCACAATGCATCAACTTAAAGGTGACAGGCGGTGGCACTGCTACACCGAAAGGCATTCCTGCCACCCAGTTCTACACACCAACCGATCCCGGCATCCTAGTTGATATCTTCAACAACCTTGCCACTTATGTGATCCCAGGCCCAGCCCTCTACGAGGGTAGGGACGCAGCACCTACGACTACTCGTCCCCCCACCGGAGCGCCTTCTAGCGCCTTGTCTTACTCACCAGCCGGGACGACCCCCACTGCAGCGTTTCAGGGCGGCGGATATGTTCCGTACGAGAACTCTTCTCGAATCACGCCTACACCTGTACCGAGTGACGTGGAGCAGAACGATCAAGCTTATTGGGGCTCCCAATCCTGGACGAGAAGATCCTCTGGCTGGACTTTCGGCGGCAGGAAGCACGCTCGAGATATCTCTATCTGAGGACAATGTGTGTGAGAGGCGTTTGTCAAATAATGCGTTGAAAATATAGAATATAGGTATCCTTTGCTGAAAGTTATCTTTAGGTTTCTGGGGAAATGAAAAAAAAAACAAAAAAAAAAAAATTCAAATTAAAGGCATCGAAATATAAATGAAATTTGAGTTCCACCAAGAAGATTCCTCCCATGTTTAATTAATATAGGCGACGGTGGCGGTAGTGATCAACTCAGCATGAAAGGGTTCTGATAATCAAACACTATCAAAGATTTTGTCGTTTCATCCGCATCCTCTAAGAGGTATATACGCAAACACCTGCACTTCACTGAAAGGAATGATAGTTACTGTCAAATAACGAAAGGATGATGATTTCTCGAGAACAGTGGAGCTAGCCTTTAGAGTTTGGCATAAATGTAACGATGACCAGCGCGGAAGAGAACGCCATATGGGTCCAGGATGGGCGTCCGAGAAACCACCATGAGACAACCGGATATTGTAGTGATATGCTAAATTAACCCTACTAAAACCTTGTTTCCTTCTAAGGTTCATAGAAAAAATTATTTGGCCTGAGCTAATAAGTCCTACTTCCTTCTAGGTACATATAGGTAACACGGGTCAGCTGTGCCAGCCGTCATTCTTCCTCTGAACGACCCTGCTCCGAAGCTTTCCCACCCACTTAATACAATATGCTATGGCATCCTGGAATACTACTGGAAATGTGATTTAAAAGCAGAGGTAGACGTCAATTCGAATGCAGTTGCGCTATGTGATCGCCAGCATCCACTAGATGTTGAGGAAACCGTTCTGGTTTGATTCCCATACACCCAAGAAGTTGCTAAGGTTAGCGGAACTTTAGAATATGAGTTCAACTTTATCAGCACTATGTTTTAATTCTTCCAGACGCTTATGCGCCTGCCACAAAATGCTTGAAGGGGGTCGTGGCCCATGGCATGCCGCTGATCACGTCGTTTGACCAACCAAAAAATTCAAATGCGCTCTCTACCAAGAGGCACTTAGATCCCTGTTCGTAACGCGTTGTATTCTCTGTAAGCACTTGCAAATTCATATTTAATTTCCGCCCCCAGTGAACCCACTTAGAACTCTATGTAACACACACACACACTCTCTCTCTCCAATCCGGTTGCGTACTTTAGCCCAGACAGCTAAGGGTTTCCTTTCCCTCTTCGGATTCACTGAACTATACTGTGGTTGGTAGTGCTTGACATTTATGGCTTGCATAGCTTGCCTAAAACTTGTTCAAGCCAGTAGCAGATACCGTCGACATATCAGTCATACAATCGCTGTAGTCCGGCTCTCCACGCACGAAATCTCCATTTCGCCCCTTCGTTGTATGAATATGTAATAGCATTTGCGAGGCCAACGTACTGTGTGGAGGCCTGAAGGATTTTTAACCATCGAGGGTTGTAGTCAAGTGACTCGAAAGGACGATTGAGGAGGCCTGGTATCCAGAAAACCACGTATATTATAGGATATCCATTGAGAAGCATTATTCGACGTATCTCGGAGTAGCTATGAGGCATGGCTCTTTGAGCAGTGTAGGGATTGATTTCAGTCGCAGTTTCCGCCTTGGAGGAAAGAACGGCATCGCGATGGCCCTCCGACTGTCTATCGGAAATTGTCGACAGTGACGAGTCTAGATAAGCACACATAATCAGTAATACTCTCAGAAATAGCCAACTTGAATTGGATGTGTCGAATACTCAGAGCGCCGACTTGGCGTGCAAGCGGATAAACCAACCAAGAACTCGTGTGCCAGCATGATCGGCTGCGACGGATTCAACTACCACAGTCGTCTCCAGCTCAATTGTCATTACCCCTACCGACCCTCTACTCACTTCTACCGTTCTTTGCCCTGAGTTGGTGGCTGCATGGGGGAAGAATGCTATTCCCTCGAAACGTCGCTTGATGATAACGAAGACAGGCATAGATGCCCCCGGTGGTCAAGATGATGGCAATGCGCCAGCCATGGCCAAGTGCAAATCGCAGACTGAGATGCTGCGGCTCGATCCAGCACCAATTTCCACTGACCGGCCCATACAATTTCAATCCCAATCCAATAGTAACTGGCAATGATATTAGTAAGGGTGTAAGTTCATGTCCACCCACGTACTTCTGCACACAGGTACAATCCAAACAGGTGAGCAGTACATCATCTTCACGCTCGCGTTTGGCGCAGAAACTATCGCCCGTTGATTGATAATCCGGAGAGCGACCAATGCAATAGCTAGCACAGAGAAATCGCTTGCCTAGATTCATAGTTGAGAAGGTCATCAGACAGACGAAGTAAAGGTCCTTTACCTGCACCGACAGCTGACCGATCCAAGCATTCAATATACATCCGGTGCCCGGCGTCAGGTCATGGCCCCCTTTGAGGACTGCCAGCCCTGAAATGGAGTTATTGAGTGCATTGATAAAATATAGTCAAGAATGCGAGTGCTAGTTAGCTTTGTTGGCGCCGAAAATATACGGATATTCCCACCTGCGATGGTCAGGTTCAAAATAAGCCAGTGACGAAAGTGCCGTTTCCTAGAGGAAGTGGCATAAGATAGAAGGACCAGCGAAGATACGATCGTTTACATGACACTTCCAGTAAAGGTGGGGACGGCAACTGCATAGTCGACAACCATCATGCTGTGGTTTGAGAAGGCTAGAGACCGAAGGAAATAGAGAGGACAGGTAAATTTCGAAAACCTCATTCTACACCCTTATTATAGCGATAGGTTACGAACCTCAACTGCCCCGTTGACCTTGTTACAGTAATCTTGCGCATAATGTCGAATACTTCTAGCTGACTAGGCTTAACCTTCTTCCCCAATGTCCGAGTAATTTACAGGATCCTAAATGCTTCTTTTTTTTTCCTGTAATGATGCGTGGATTTATGTTTACGTAAATTGGAGTGTATGGGAACGGCAGAGGAAAGAAGAAGTACACGTACGCACTGACAGCAGAACTGGACGGCAAAGATGCTCTGCGGGTTGGCTGACTGCTGAGGAGGGCAAAATTAAATAGGAGAAAGAAAATAGAAAAGTAAAAAATTGCCAAAAAAGGGTAAAAAGGTTGCCTCAGAAAATACAAAGCGATTGCTGTGACCCGAGGAGGGTATACACGAGGCAGAAATTCTCTTCACGCACTAAACCCTGCGTGTACTAGCACTCGACAGAGTTTGCACACAGCCGATACGTCTAGGATATAGCTGGTTTTGTTGTCGGAAAATATGTCCTATGTGCAGGTCTGATACTACTGCACTACCACTTTCATAGCCCCATAATTAAGGGCAAGGGCTAAATTCATCCAGTTCGCTTCCAGCCAGTGCCTTCCTCAGGGGTAGATCGTGTAAACCCAACGTCTGCCCCCCACATTCTATTTAGAGCCTCGGACCCTTGAAACCGTGAACCTATTGTTTCCTGAGCCAATATTTCCGTGGATCGCCTAAGCCTCGCCGGAGCCTGACATGGCGATGTTATCTAACCACCAGTCTAACCTGAAGCAGAAGTGATAACCAGTTTCAATGGATACGGTCACAATGTTCCCTATCCCTTTCCTGAACCTGAACTGTTTGCTTACAAGGGCAAAACATACCCCCAGAAGTAGCAGACTTAAGCCCACTCTCAATAGGCTTCCTCGACGGGATGAGAGCGACGAGTTCATGTCTTTGAGGAGTCGTCGCGCAGCTTCCTCAACAATGCACATAGGTTCCAAAAGGAAAAGCGGCATCGTGGAGAGCAAATCAAAGGGAACTGTCGCTTCTTACTACAAGACAAGAACACGTGAGGTGACTGCGACATGATCCATTCATGTTGTCTCTCGTTGGTCAACCAACCATTCCGCAGTCCAGTACGATCGACAGAGATGCCTATGTATGACCCCGTAGTTAAGCGTGGGAATACGTTAGTACATACCAACGGGGACACTACCGGCCCGCCGGAATCGAAATAAAACCTCGATACTATGATGCCCCGGACCGAGTCACCGAACCGGCCCGTTCACTACAGTGGGTTGGAATAAGATCTGTACGGGTGACGCGTCAGCTGTCTTAACGCCTCGCAGCTGCTTCGATGAGTGCAGAACCTACGTATCCATCTACCGAATAGTAGAATCGGGACAGTGCCTGCCAATGACAGCCTTCCCCGCAAATAAAGTTTCCAGGACTTTGGATGACATAGGATACAAGAGGAGCCACAGATCTTCAATCTGGAAACTCACTAAGCAGTCAAATGAGACATACTTTCGCTTCACTTAACTTGTTCAGGCAAGCCAAACGCCACGACCCCATCCGCATCTGTACTAAGAACACTTTTACATAATCGAAATTTTAAGCCCTAGCTACACGTCCGGGGCGTAGTGCATACGCTCCTTAAAATCTACCAGAAGATGATCAGTCAGTTGCGCTGAGGCAGTCTCAGCCGTTTTGGAGCATTCTCTGAACACTTCATTGATAGCGTTAGGATGTCAAGACTGCCATCTTTAGCGGCCAAGGAAATCAGCTATTTGATACTAGAACATAGACAACGGCGAATTATCCCGTCAGACAACTACTTTATATTACATAGTTGCATATATGGTCACTTTCCTTAAGATAGTCCGTCTGGCTGACATAGTATTACCTATACTATCGTAGCAAAAGAAGTGCCTAAAATATCTAAATTAATTGTGATTTAGCGTTTACTATGCCAAGCATATGGATCTATACTTTCAACCCGATAATAGAGCGATTATAGCTCTTGCATAATCAGACGTTTCCTCCATTACGCGTGCACTCTATAGCAGATTGTGTACTATCTATATATCTGATGGAGCACTTTCGTTGGGTGTGATTCTTCTGAGGGGATTAGTCGTGGACTCGGGACGGCCAAGGCGGAAATGCAAGAACTATAGTAAATTAAGTCGGTAACTATTAAACCACCATGAACCGGGCTTGGGGGGAAATGGTCTCATGCTAGAAATGGCCCAAGGGCGCGAAAATAAATTGTCAAGCCCCCCTGCCAGGGCGTTTGCAACCTCAACCTTAACTACACGTCTAGACTACCTACTGAGTGATGTTCTTACTCTGTAGAAGCTTGTGCCGTCTCTACTATACGAACCATGCTTCTTGGTCCAGCATTCTTTTTGTCTTCTGTCGAGCCGATGGCTGGCCCAGTGTTGCTGTGTACCCGATCATGAAGGGACTAGATTGTCTGTAACATGACGTAAACAGGAAGCTAATATGCCCCAACGGATTATGAATGGTGGTGTCTTAGATGTTCACGATGGATCTAGTGAGGCGCCAAAGATCATCGCCATTTATGAGTTACCTAGCAGGAGCACAGGCGAAAGGAGGAACCCAAGGAAGCCTGCAATTTGTCCATCCAACCACGCGCACACGTGCGCGCGTCATGATTTCTGTACGTAATAAGGGAAGAAAGATCGCATTGCACCTTGGCCATGCGGTGTATGACGGGATAATAATAATATTTGAACGCGGGGGTAGGAAATATCTAACTCAACAGACAATGAGGGATATTTCGACGAGTGTGAAACAGGTCATCGTAGCCAGGGTATATAAGGCCGTCACTACTTCCAGTCTACGTCTGTGATTTATTCTCCAGGCCCTTACACTTCCGACTCCACCACCAAGCAAAACATATTGCAAATCTTTCTTTTCCAATCTATACCAAATGGCTCCTCTCGCTCTACTTTCTTTATTCCTTTTCGCTGTGGCTGCTCGCAGTCAGGGAGTACAGACAGCCGCCGAGGTTAACCAAATCTTGGCCCAGGTCGAGTCCGGCTTCTCAATTGATTCTTCGAACCCGCCGTACTATGATACAGAGTGGTACTGGGAAGGAACCTGCATCCAGTACTTCGGGCAGTGCACTAGTACTGCAAAATTCGACCGCAGCTGGATCCAAACCGGAAACGCAACTGCCTTCTATGTATCAAACACGGATGCTAGCGCGATTAACCTGACTAACGATCCTTCGACAATGACGGTAACAAACTCAACCTCAACAATGGACTCTACGACTTCAGGCTGGACCATCGGCGCGAAGCTGTCTGGCTCGGTTTCCGGTGATGGCGTGACTGGGGGCGCTGAGGTCTCAGCAAGTTACTCACAGTCCTCCACTACTAGTACGACTGTGACCACGACCGTTTCCTATACTGCGACTTGCCCGGCTCAACACCAGTGCAGCGTTGAGACCTGGACCTTCCATCTCAATATTACTGGATCCTGCTTGTCCCACGGCATGATCAACTGCCGCTCCCTAGGGACGTTTGATCAATGTACCAACCCTCAGACCGCATGCCAGCAGTACCAGGACATGTACACTGATCACTGTAACCAACCCCTGAAAACATGCAATGTTCAGACCCCCGTCTACAACAGTGATGGGACAACCCCATACAGTCAGATTGTTCTCATTGCTACCCCTATCAATGGGACTTCGACAATTGAGAGATCCGGACGTGACCAGCAGATGGTAAAGTACAAGGTTCTCGGATAGAGGCGTGTACCTAGTAGAAGAGGAGTTCGGAGCATATATTTCGTTGATGGCCGTGGTGGAGGTGAGGGTTTGCACAGTTCCCATGCATTTTCAAGTTATATGTCTTCTGGAGAAGGGTGCCACGACCTACGCTCTTTTATTTTGTTTCCCAACCCCTAATACCAAGAGACACTATTGTTGAGAATGCGTCTATTACAAATAGAATGGAAGATTGCCTCCCAGAATGGTATCAAGCTCGTCTTGTATCACAACCTGGCGGGGAAATTGGAAGAATGACAGGCCTGTAAGGCGGGACTCTAAATTGCCCCCACGTAATAGAACAAATCTATCTACTATGAGTACATGGGCCAGAGTGACTGCACTGTGTGGCTTTGTATCCTTTGCCAAATCCGTGGTTCACGGTTATGGCCAGTAGGTAAACTTTTACCCCATCTTTCCTCTCATCCAATCCACGTCGATCTAGCACTACTCTTTAGAGTAGCCTTTGTGGGGCTTACGGTACAAAAGTGACGCGGGTTGTGGAAGTTAATTATTAAACCATAAACCATAAACCATCTCATCATTGTGCTTCCCCCTTTTTTCTGGCGAGTCCGTCCTACGTTTCCTGCCATGTTAAGGAGCTACTCAGCACTGGACGAAGCCCTGTTGCAACAGCACTTCAGGATGCCCCGGCCTCAGGTCAAATTGCAAGACCGCAAACGCGCAATAAAAGCGTGCGTTCCCTGCAGGGCCTCAAAAATACGGTGTAATTCGCAGAAGCCATGTGAAGGATGTAAAAGGCGCAACATGAGCGATTCCTGCATCTACATGGATTCATCGACTTACGACAGGTTGCAGTGTCACCGAACCTCCTCCTTGTTGCAGAGCCTTCCTAACGATGGCACCGTTAACAATACTGCTGATGGCCAGGATGAAAATGGAAAGCATCCAGCCTGTATCCCTGACCCCACAAATAGGACGAGAATTCCTACAGATCGTAGTCGAATGTTGCTGAGTTCCAAGGGGGAGAAAGGTATTTGTGCAGGCTTTCAAGTAAACCATCACTCTTACTGAACGCTGCATAGTGTACACTGGAGGCAGATCTTCTCTTTCATACTTGGATTTTGTACGCAAGGTTATCAGGCGATATGCTGGCGCTTCTTCTTTCACTGAGGCTGGATTCAAAGATTCTATGCTTGAAATTGATCCGAGCCCAACCATTTCAGAAGGCTTGCCAGAACCAGACGAAGAACAACGGAAAGGTTTCATAGAAACCTATTTTGAGGCAGTAAGAAGGCCGCCCAGCTTGCCTTGGTCGTTTATTTCGGCTAATCATTTCTCCCAGTCCAGTGCGATTCTTGACCTCGTTTCAAGGGAGGAGGTTTACGCATACTTGGGTCTAAGTTCCGTGCGATTGGGGGAGACTCAGAGATACAATATCAGCGAACTGGCAATAGCACACCTGGTTCTTGCCATAGGGAGCCAGTGCCGAGGTCTGTCGCCTTCGGATTTGGCTTATGCTTCCAGGTATTTCGCACAAGGGCAGCAGGTGGCTTTTAATGGACTGCTGTGCGACCCTAGCATGAACATGGTGAGGCTTTTTCTGCTCATGGCCTTCTACCTCCTGGCGCTTGCCACAGGAATGCTGCCTGCATGTATTTAGGGATCGCGTGGAAAGCTGCCAATACTTTAGGGCTCCACAATAAAGATCATTATCAGTTCTTAGCAAGGGGGGAACGCAACTTCAGGTATGATGAGCACATATTGATAAAGCATAACTAACTGATGACAAATCAAGGCTTAGAACATGGAAAAGCCTCTGCGTGATGAACACCATCGTCAACTCCATCCTCGGGAGACTCGAGCATTCATGCCCACCTTGGCCTGAAGACAGGCGAAATGACACTGCTGACTTACAGACACAGCTCGGGGGTCATACAGTCAATCCGGCTTATGAGCTTTGTAATATCATTGATGGCTTTGAACGCACCCTAGGAAAAGAACGCTGTAATACGTCAACCTTGACCGAGAAATACCTTCATGACCTTCGTAGATGGAGCCAGAGTCTACCCACCGAGCTGCGGCACATTTCGAGTATTTCCATAACGAACTCAAACTTCGAGAATAGGGAACATCTCCTGGGGGCAGTCCAGGTTACATGCTTGTACTACTTTGCTGTTGTGTTAGCAACGCGGCCGTTCCTTACATCGAATATTATGCTGAAACTCGGCAATTGTACAACGAAATCTTCGGCTGCGGCACCAGACCTGGATGGAACTCGAACGCCTGTTCATCTTGCACAAGTGTGTGTGGCTTCTGCGACGTACATGGTGAAAATGTCACAGGCGGCGATGGAGACAGGGTATTTACTTCGGAACATGTGCCATCTAAAGTGTGTTTTGCTCCCTAAGATCCGGCTTCCTTGAGTACGGACTGATGGTGCGTTTTTAGGGCCTGGATATTTGCGTCTGGCTTATTGCTCGGCTTTGCGCTCTTTGCAGAAGAAGGTATAGCCACTGAGACTGATGAAGCGTTCCACGCAGCTCGATCGGTTTTGCTGTATCTTTCTGGTCTCAGCCCACAAGCCAACCGATACCACGAGATCCTCACCTCTCTTTCTGAGGTAATCAACCACCAGCGACTGCGGCGTGTAGAGGAGAGGCGTCGGATTACCAGCCAGTTCGTAGATCAGATTTTGAATTTCGACACCCATCTGCCCGGAATCAACCAATCGTACCTTAATCGCCGTTCCGAGAATGATGGGCCGACTACTGAGGAGAATCATGACACTGCCGATTTAGACGCTACCTTCTCGTTTATCCCCGGCCTGAATGTGGACAATTCAGCAAATTTGCTTATGCAGTGGGATGCGTTCGCCATTGACGGGCAAACATTTGGCATGTATATGGACAGCACATGATTGATAAGAGAGTGGACAACCTAGCATTGCCGCCAGGTACAGCTGTTGTTGTTGTTGTTGTTGTTGAATTCATACACTGACCCCTCGCCAAAGCGATATGCAGGTATCGGCTGTAGCTAACACCTATGTGTGTCTAGATACATCTGTCCATCACATGGGGGAAATTTAGAGTCTCACCTCACAGGCCTGTGACTGTTCCATTTCCTCATCCACCTTGCGATAAGACAGGGTGACTTTGGTACCATTGTAGGAAGGGTCTTCCATTGTTATAGTAAATGTGCTGTCGGGGACGGCAATCGAACCGGTCCTCAGATTAGTTCCATCAATTGAGTGATACTACATCTGCCCTCGTGGACTTAAGTTTTGGTACAGCCCGTATAACACCATACTACCTTGCATACAAATATGTCAATGAGCAGCCCACTTGCTTGCGACCTTTCTCCACTTGTATATCCCTCGGTGAGATGAGAGCAAGTTCTTCCAATGATTTACACCTTGATTAGCTTACAGCCAACCAGGGTATATCGCGCGGAAAATAAGGCAATGGATCCGGCCAGCAAGCTGAAGCCACAGAAGAGCTGCAGGCCTAAGAATTCGCCGTGCTGAGCTGAAACGATCGCCCCGCCGATTGGGCTGCCGGTCAGAGCTCCGAAGGACATGATGGTGAACGCCGTACCAGCGCGGGTTCCGATCTCACCAATATCGGAAATCTGCGCGATCAGGCTAGGGCCGAGTGAGATAAATCCCCCCGAAGAAAAGCCAAAAATGATCACGAAGACAACCATGCCTGCTGTGTTCTTAACAGGTACCCAGACCGCCAGACAGGACAAGGCGGAAATGAAGCTGATGACGATCATAACATTATAACGACCCAGTTTATCGGCAGCAACCCCGGGAATGATACGGCCAAAAATGCTACAGTCGACCATTAGGAATTTGCAAACCAAAAGGAATATGTTTATTGAAAACCAGGGATTGTTGCCTACCTTGCAGCATTCAGGATGGGTAGCAGGTACAGAATCAAAGTTGGAGACATGCCGGCAGCTTCAGCCTGCAATAAGATGTAGTTGAAAGGCAGAAACATGCCCCACATGAAAAGGAGCATGCCAGCAACGGTGACGGCCAGGCAGATATCCGTTAAGTTATTGACAAACTCCATCATCTTGAACGGTCTCGGACAGGGGGGCAGTCTCGGCTTGACGGCCAAGCACGTAAATATAAGAAGCGCAAGAAATACGAACGCCATGGTTCGCATCATCCAGGGGAAGCCGATACTGTCAATGAGACTGGCCATTATGATTGGGAGAACGACGCCGCCGACCGACGAGCCGGACACCATAATGCCGTAGGCTACGGCGCGTCCCTCATTGAACCAGGTGACGAGGGAAAACATGCAGCAGTTGAAAATGGCGCTCGATCCCGCGGCGCCGACGATGGATTGGGAGAGGAAGAATTGGTAGTACTCGGTGGACAGGGAGACCATCATGAGGCCAAGAACATAGGCAACTGTACCACCCCAGAGGAGCCAGCGCGGACCGTAGTTGTCAAACAGCCGTCCGAACTAGTCAACGTAATGGGTTAGGGAATCTAGGCATAAAGGAGGGGTTTTCAGTTAGAAGTCACATACCCCCACCGCGCAGAAGTTCATCATGAATATCTGGACCGACGTGATCCAGCTGATGGTCGAGCTGGAGTGAAGTTTCAACGGCACCGCTACATAGTACTGTTCAAATATGCCAACAGAGCTGACGAGGCCAAAGGTACAGAAGAGAGCACACCATCCACCTAAGACGACAAGCCACGCCTCCCGGCCTCCCTCAGGAGGGCCAGCTCCACGACATTCGCCCATGGCTTTGGGCTCTGCAGCGGGCGCCTCCAGCTCCATCCGTCCCCGTCCCAGGCCCGCATCGATGACATTGGCGTAGGTTGGGGATGTCCGCGAGTATATATTCTCCGGGGAGTTGCGGATGTTATTGTCATTCAGCTGCTTCTCGTTACTAGTGTTGCCGGAGCCGGCGAAAGCTGTGGCCATTGTGTGTATCGTAGCGGAAGACATGAAAGTATTGCCTCTGTGCGTTTTGGCTCCCTTTCGGATGCTTCGCGAAATGTGGTGCAATGTTGAGGATCAATCGAACAAGAGAGTCGCTGGAGTTGCTGCCTCTACATTCCAAGACTCGACAGGTGAGGCCAGGCTGTAGTGTAGCTATAAGCCTAGTCGGTAGGGCCGGCTCCTTCTTTAGCGGTATACAGAGCCAGGGGACTGTCTGGGGTTGCTGGGTGTCCAGACATGGCCCACTCTTAACCCGGAAACTGTGGGGGATTAGGTTAGGCTAGTAGGATGTAGCGGATAATACCCCTCGGCGTCACGGAAACGGTGGCTTTCGGAAAGCGGCAACGAGGGACAGAGCATGACATATAGAATGGAAATTTGAGGAAGTTGCGACTCCACGAATCTTGCAGTGGAGACGAGGTGGTACTAGCCGGAGTTTAACTGCTTCCTGCTGGGTACGATTACGTGCCAAACCGAGTGAACCCTCTTCCAGTCCGTTGATGTTTCAGGCACATGCAAGAGGGATACAGTACAACCTCGCTATAACGAGCCTTGTTATAACGAGAACCTCGATAGTACGAGAGTCTTTCCTTGTCTGAATTAATTTCCCACAACAATAACGAGATCTCTCGTTGCACCGAATCTCGTTGGTTTGGCTTTTGCCGCCATATAAATCTCGTAGTATCGAGGGGATTTAATCTGGGCGGGTGATTATAGTAGGCCATGGTCGAGCTATTACGTATCCTAAATAGGTTCTCTCAATCACGAGCATGTGCTTGTTCAATTTTGTCGTGCGAGGACTGAGACATTCATCCTGCACAATGTTCAGGCGCTTAGCATAATTTTCATCCGCATCGCGGAGGAGTATTAATAGATACGACTTATTAAGAGTCCATCTCTAGCATACTACAGGAGACATAGCTTAGGGACCTCTCTAGCGCTGGTAATCAGGCCCCTACAATGTAAATAGATTCGTACTATCAAGACCCGCAGTTTTTACTGTGATCTGACACCCTGCTATCTCCCGAATTACTGGAACAATATATACCTACCCAGAGATTTGTCCTTTATTCATAACCCCTGCTGTCAGAGGTACTATGTGTACCCGGGAGACCACTCATGTAATGCCAGCAAGAGACCCCGGAGATACCAGTTCGACGCGGTAGAGTGTACTTGTTGAACCTACGTTTCAAGGATCAACGATATATATAATTTCCCGTTGACCCTAATATGCTAGACGATGTATAATACTGGCCCTCACCTTGCCATCCACCTAGTGAATCTACTACTGCACCTTGTACCCATATAGATAAGTCCCACCACACTAAAAAATATACAACAGCTCTTAACATTGTCCCTGCATGATCCGCAATATAATTTAGCGCCCGGCCGTCCGCCCCTTGCCATGACCGCCCAGCGGCATGCCGTACCACCAAACCACCAAATCCGTCGTCGAGCAGCCCTATATCGAGCTGTAGCGTGTTGTATAGCCAAGCGTATTGTCTAAACGCCGCCGTGACCATGATCGGTCCAGTGGTCCAAAAGACCTGCAGGTACGGCAGGATTATACCCCGAGACGCGAGCCTGCTACTTCGCCGCTTAGCCTCGTAGAGCACCCACTGCAGGAATGGAGAGCCAGGCTTGGCCATAAAGAAATGATTGCTGAGACCGAGCGTGCCTGCCGTCCGGGAGAATATGGCCTGCAAACCAAGTGTTTGGAGGCATTGTATATGCTCGGCTGAGCGGGGGTATACGTCCAAGTCGGAATAGATGCCACCCTCAGTGTGGACGATGAGCAGCCTCGCAAGGTCGGCACGCTGAATATCATGAGGATATCCGTTATACGTCGGCAACAGCCAAGTATAATTTGCCTTGATGAGCTTAAGGATATCGTCGTCAGTCCATAGCTTGACTGTGTAGTTCGAGGGCTCAAGCATAGCCCTCCATGACTCGCGAGACGCCGCGATTTCGGTGGAATATTCTTGGACGTCGGCCGTTTTCCATATTTGATGGACAATGTTTGGTATTGTGGAACCGACCACAGGACGAGGGTTATCAATACGTTTGAGCGCGTTAGGAGAACATTCATCCACTATCTGTATAGATCCTGACAAGTGTTCGGAAAAGGCAAAGTCGTCGGCGTAGCTGAATTGAAGGGTAGAAAAGCTGACAACAGAGAGAGCCACCACAACGATGAGCTTTCTCATTCTTCGTGCTAAGGCGACAGCCATGGTATTCCATTTCCATGAGAGCTCGCAAACCCAACAGTTACTGGGCCTTTAAGAATGGATCCACGCTGGGCGCAGCATAGGGTTCACCCCATAGCACAAGGACAAGCCATGCCTGTAATATTTGCTGCAGTTTTGGGCCACGGTTGAGTAGACTCCTGTCCCGAAAGCCCGACTCACAGAAGAGCCCCAAAGTGAACTAGTGCCGGTCCACTGGCATGTTAATCATACTCTGTTTCTACGGTGTGCGACTATTAAGAGACTGCGAACCAAGTCAATACGTGGCGTTTGCCCCACGGATCGCCCAGGATCGGTATTTGTCTAGGTATTTCTACGAGTATGTTCATTTGGGATTAGCGTTAGGCTCCAACCTGTCTTTGCTTTCTCTAGTTCGTCACCGTCGTGCACGTAGGCCGTCGAAATCGTGTTACTGTATGGCTGATATTGACTGAATATCCTAGAATATCTCAGCCGACACGTTTCACTTCACCTCCAAGACTAATAGTTTTATAAGGAAGCCTTGATACGAACCGCTCGGTTGGCAACGAGAGAAGCCGACAGACTAGGTTGAAAGTTAATAACGACGACCGACCAATCCCACGGAGACCATAGCTGCTCAGGATGGATCGAGACCCGTTTCACCGCATATTTATAGAAATACTTTCTCAGACCCTCTCGCAGAACTTGCCATCCCTAGTACCGTTACCTTAGCCTGTTCCCTTGTCCTTGACAGTGTTCCGAAAGAAACTCAGTTCGAGGAGAGTGGTGACACCAATTTCGACCCACCCTGTAGCTGGGGGGTTGGTCTGGTTGTTCTCATTTCCAATGAAATCTCCCTAGGGCAATACATGCGGGGACTTCAATATTGGATGGATCCGTACCTCTATGGATGGCGCGTGCCATTTCCCAGGACGACCAGAGAGCGTCGGGGAAACGTCTCCGAGTATTATCACTTTTCCCTACCCGTATATCGGGAAAACGAAACTTAGAACACGTTGAATTCTCCGGAAGTCCGAAAATAGCTTCTGCCAATTGTAGCTGTGAGGTCGTTGTCTCGCATATCTATCTTTCATTCACTGCTTCGCGGCAAGCTTGAAGGTTGAAGGAGGTTATAGAGAGCATGAGCTAGCTCAGTCGCAAAAGATGTCCTTGGCTAATATGAATGAACATTGATCTTCGAAAGACAACGAAAATCCAGATAAATTCTCGTGAACCTCATCTAACATGCGGCCCACATTATGGTTGTAGTGTGACCCTCGAGTGCGTCCAGGTTCTCGGGCCGTGCAGGACGAGCGTGGGCAAGCCGGCCCTGTGGGGCTCGGAACACCACTGACTTCACCCGAAGAGTTTCGCACTGTAAGTGCTCGGACCGTAGACGGATGCCATTCTTGGCTGGAGTAACACAACTCTTATTGGCTAGGCACCTAACGTTAAGGTTAACTAACTCCAGAGACCTACTGACTAACCGCCTAGAATCCGGATAGCTACTCCGTATGCTCGGTTCCGTAAGCGTTGGATCCACAACGTGGGCTTGATTCTTGTATCTGAACCTGGTTAGCCAGCCATCTTTCCCCATGTTTGTCACCACTCAACAGAACAGCACACTCTAGTCCCTAGGCTTGATTCCACTCAAGGTTGTTTCTATTCTTGACGTCTTCTATCATGAGCGGTTGCACGAGGACCTCCCCTTCCCCACCGGCCCGAACACGAAGGTGACCAGCGTCGAGTTCGTCTTTCCCTAACTGTTGGGATGGGATGGCGCCGGTCCGCAGGTGACTGGAAGCGGGAGCATTGGAAATTCAAACCGTATCGCGTGTTCTTCTGCCAGGTGTTCGGCGTCATTGCCCAAACCTACGGTCCCGGACAGGCACTTGCCTGGCGCAAGATCGTCCCGTTCACGTTGTCCCGCACCCACATCTGCTGCCCTACTCCAAAGACACCTGCTTCTTCTCCTGCGGCGGCGGTGATCGCCTGCAGAAGTGGGCCAGCGCATTTTGTCACCAACGTTGGAGGGCCCCATCGAGATTACTTCGATCCAAGCCTTCCTTTGACTCTCCATGCTACGAGAAGTCGATCTAAATTACGATAGTTTCCACACCGTTGTGGGACATTGCCGTTTCTATTTTGGACTTTCTTCGTTTCCCACCTCGTTTCGGACCACACAGCTGAGCAGGCTAAGACCTAGTCCTTACTATGTGGGTAACAACGGGCAATGTTTCGCGATGTTCCACGATTAGCGGGGTCATTCACATAGGCTCCTGGCTATCGGAGCCTCTCACCGACAACCAGGTGGCCACTTTCGGCAGCTTCCTGTAGTGAAGTGCGACCAGCATGACCGCCATCTGGCTTTTCTCCTTCCAAAAGGTTATTAGGCATCTTGATGCTGCCTTCACTTGCCGATCTCTGCATCATTCGGCTTCTATTTTGGTTGGAAAGCACGCCGCTGGATGGTGATAAGCCGTCCTAGGGCATAGTGACGAGCTTGGAAGCTCCATTCTAGAATAAGAGGGTCACTTGCGTCGAAAGATTTGTCCCCCCATGGAGTTTGGGTGAGATCATGCCCGTGGATTATCATCTTTGGCTAGGAGTCCCAAGTTATGGATATGCCACTCTCGGACCTTGCCGTGTGAGAAGGCCAGTTGGCCGACGCGTACTGAAGAACGGGTGTCCGAGTTCTCCATCGCCGCTCTTGCATAATCTCGGTTGAAGCTGGCTAGAGTCCCGACGACATCAACGGCTGGTGAGTTCGCTCGTGTAGGGCGACCTGATTTTCTCGATAGCTGAGAAGAGAGTGATTGACTGCCGTCTTTGATTCAGAACTCTCTTAGCTATAGCGGTAGACGCAATGTGCGGTGGTGGTTGGACGCATCTCGTTTCCCACCAGAGAAAGGACAGATGGCCGGTCCGGGGAGATCAAGCTCAGAGATGATGCGTTAGAGTATTTACGGTTCTCCCGAACGAGTGCACCGGACTAAAGACATTAGAGACGCTCGTCTTCAACAAAAGCGCCAGTTATCTAACCGAAGATGACTCGAAAAATATTCACTTTGCTCATAATATTCTGGTGAGGATCAACGCAGCCGTTGAAGTATCGCTTCTCTGAACACAGTCACTGTGAGGTTTTGCACCGGCTCTCTTGTCCCATCGGTCAAAAGTCTTTTAGAAGGCATTGGGTGGATCGTCTTACTTAGCTTATCGACCCGTTCTTCCCCTTATTTTCGAACACATTGAAACTTCCTGGCCTAAATGATGCAATATCCCAGAATGCTCCCCATTCGGAGTCAACCGGTCTCACATTTCTGGTCTCACTGTGCATGCCAATATCTCGCCTCCAATTCTCTCAGGTTTGGTGTATCATATTCCCATAACGCCCTCCTTCCGGTATCCACATACCAAGTTTGGCTGTACAGGGAGCTGACGCTGACCTGGGGCGACGGACTGACTCTGATCTCGTTTATCGACCACAAGAACGGGCTGTGCAGTGCTGGCGCCATCCAAGCCTCGCTGCCGTTGACAATGACACTGCGATGGCGCTGTGGCAGATCTTCCGCCGCAACATTTGCCACAAGTATGCTGTGTTCAAGTGACAGCAGTAGAGTCAGTTGCACTTATGCGTAACGAATCAATGGATATAATTAGAACATAGGAGGAGATTGAAACCGCACTATTTGTAGAGCGTTGTGGTCATCCAGTCATGAGTTGCTCGAAGAGTCTATTATTAAGCGTCGGGGCTCCCATGGTAGCTATCTGGTAGCCCCAAGCTTATCCACAACTACGACCCATTAATCTGGCCTCAGAACTCACTGGAGCGTGGACAACTAAACTCTCTTTCTTCCCGCCTCCCGCTCCTCGCTGGGGCTTATTTCTGGGCCGTATATGGCCACTCTTCGTCGACATCGATTCCCAAACATGCCTACTGAATCAGGATCAGGAACTCAACTGGCAGAAGGAGACGGCTCTAGCGCAACCGATGGCGACATAGGGTTCATCCGGCGTGGCTTCGGAGAAGTACATGCTGTCAGGCAAGGTCTTTACCAACGGCACCTTCAGATGATCGCTCTTGCTGGCACAATTGGCACAGGTCTATTCCTCAGCTCTGGCCAAGCACTTGTAACGGCAGGCCCACTGGGTGCATTCCTTGCCTATTCTATCGTTGGCCTTGGTGTTATGAGCGTCGTCCTGACGGTGGGAGAGATGGGTGCCTTAGTACCGCTCAGTGGCGGTGTCGTGCGTTATGCGGAATACTTCTTTGACCCAGCCATGGCTTTTGCCAATGGATGGAATCAAGTATACTTATACTCAGTCACTCTCCCTGCTGAGATAGTGGCAGCCTCGGTTCTGATTGAATTCTGGATCATCATTAACAACGCAATCTGGATTACCGTCTTCAGCCTCCTAGTGCTTATCACTGCGCTGGTGTTCGTCAGAATCTATGGAGAGCTTGAGTTTTCATTCGCTATCTTGAAAATTCTGCTAATCGTTGGGGTCAACATTATGGCGCTAGTGATTACTTGCGGCGGAGGACCAACTGGTCAATCTATCGGTTTTAGATACTGGAGAGACCCAGGGCCTTTTGTTCAGTATTTTGGGATCAAAGGTGCTCTTGGCCGGTTCCTTGGTTTCTGGACCACACTAGAGAATGCAATCTTTGCATACTCGGGGATCCAGAATATCACGATCCCAGCGGCTGAGACCAGGTATCCGCGCCAATCAATACCACAGGCGACCAGGCGCGTCTTGTACCGCATCATCCTCTTCTATGTCCTGTCAATATTCATGATGGGCTTGGTTGTTCCATCGAATGATCCTACTCTTCTTCAACTGACTGGCACGGCTTCTCAGTCCCCATTTGTTATCGCGGCTCATCGGGCGGGGATCAAGGTCGCACCCTCAGTTATTAACGCTATTATCATTACATCCGCCTGGTCTGCTGGCAATTCCTATATCCTTTTTGGGTCCCGCATTCTCTATGGCATGGCGGTCCATGGCCATGCTCCTGCAGTATTCAAACGGCTGAACCGGTTCTCTGTCCCTTATGTGGCTATCAGCTGCATAGGAAGCTTCATGTGCTTGGGATATATGTCCCTTTCCCACTCAGCTACTGTGGTCTTTCAATGGCTACGTGATATTGTAGCAGTTGCAACATTGGTGGACTGGCTCATCGTCTGCATCGTCTACCTCCGATTCTACTACGGTTGCAAGAAGCAAGGAGTCGACCGACACAGAGAGCTTCCATGGGCCGCGCCCTTCCAGCCCTACTTCACCTGGGCGTCTCTGACCTTGTTCACCCTCTTGCTTATCACTGGTGGCTTCAGCACATTCATCAGCGGCCACTGGGATACCGAAACCTTTATCTCATCGTACATCAACATCCCAATCGTCCTAGGTCTATATTTGGGCTATAAATTCTGGAGGAAAACGCGCATTATCGCCTTGGATACTATCCCGCTGGTCGGTCTGCTTCAGTTCTACCTGTCCCACGAAGAGGTCGAACCGGAACCACAGCCTAGAAAGGGGTTGGCAAAGTTCAACATTCTTTGGTAGCTGCTTTCTTGTAGTCGGTTACGACGTGGCGAAAGCTGCGGTGCAGCTACTAGTTCCGAGCAGATGACGGGAGTGCATCTTGTACATAAAATTCCTTGGTATGTGGATTGAAGGTAAGTACGGATATTTACAACATGATTCTATACATCAATTATGATATATGATCCGCTGGAAATTCACCATGAGCAAACGTCAATCCATCCCTTGCTAGCTGCCGACAATAGCTCTCCACTCCTCATAGCAACGGATCCATCGGACCAGGACAAGAGGGTTTTGCTACGAGCCATTAGTAATATCATCGCAGTCAGGTCTAGTCTTCTTCAGGGCCCACGAATGGGCCCAAACTCCAGGCCCAAGGCCCAACCCCTAGGCCCACGATGGGCCCCCAATGGCCCCCCACCCAAAACCCATTTTTGCATAAATATTGGTCTTGGCATTCATAAAGGCGCTTAATATGCAGGATAAATCACGTTTTTTAACATAAAGCCCTATGTTTGCACTGTTTGGGGCCCAATTGGGGGCCCACAGGCCCATTATGG